ATTCAGCTGGAGGACATCATAAACGAGAGATTCAGTTGAGTCTCCCGTGAAAACCAAATTGATTTGCAATTGAGTGTACTTCTCGAGAACAGTGCAATTTGGGTTCAAGTAGATCATAAGGCTGACGGAAACTCAGGGGCTGCGCCTACCTGATGCGCCCCAAGAAGGACGAAACCGGTCGTGGGCTGTCGAAGAGTTTTCAGCAACCTTGTGAGTAGTTTCCTTTATGAGAACTCGTGAATTTTTTTGGGAAAAGCAATTAAAAACACTGAGATGGACCAATGTTTACTAGATCAGCAGTAAAAGTACTGGTCTGGATGCGAAAATAGACGAGTTTAACAGGCGGATCGCCACCCATTCAGCTCTGAGGAGCATCAGCTTCCTAATTGTCTTTGATCTGTTTTGTGGGACGACTTGAGACTTTAAGAGTAGTATCTTTGTTTACTGCATCACCAGTTTCAAGCAAGTGCTTGGCAGTAGCACTTGGTTTTGAAGGTTCCTCTTGTGACATACATCAACAGATGTACTCGTGGAGATGTCTTCGTATCTAGATGTCTTGTCTGACACTTTGTCCTTAAGTTTCAAACGAGCTTCGCACGAGAACACTGGAAGGTGATATTCACTTTTCTAGTGTAAACTGTTTCGGCATAGGTACTTCTGAGGTGAGGTGTTAAAAATTCACTGTCACTTTTACAGGTTGTCTACTGCTCCGCGCCGTTACTCCGTCAAGTACGCGAAGGTTTTCGTTTTCCTGCTCTGACGTTAATGAGATAATCGGATGACCACTATTACACGTGTTTCGTACCGTAGCCTAACGGACTGAATGTGTCGTCCAATTATCGGGTGTGAATTGGAAGACTTCAATGTAGTCCGCTCCGGTTGCCCCTTAGGACGTCAGGCAACGGCCGCCCAAAAGGGATGCTCATGGCTGGCATATATGGGAACTGGTCTGCATGGGGGGGGGACGTTTGTGAACAGGAGGTTTATGTCTAGCAAGTACGTTGATGTTTGAGGATTGAATGGTGTCCATGAATTGACGAGTATCATGCTGATTGTGCTGGCACACCAACCTAACAGTTTCAACGATGGTTCTACGAAACATTATGCCATGGCATGGTAAACAGAGTTGCCGGTGTCTAGGATTGGTCCTATGGGGCACGCCTGTATACTCTATGTAGTTGGAGAATGGAGATCCTGCTTTGCTTAAGGCTACCAAGGCAGGCAGTAATGGTTCTTCGTTGTCTATCTTTAAACAATTACATGAAATCTTAAAACGACACAAACACATAAGCAGCTCATTAGTTGCTTGTGGCCTGAAACCAGACTTGCTAGAACGAAAACTGAGATGAAATCTCTAACCAAAGTTTATAAAACTCACCGATATTCACGATACTACGGAAAGTTACTTCACAAAAGCTGCGTTGTCACTGCGCCATCACCCGTTTTGCTGAACTGCAACTTTTCACTTGCAGATTAAAGGTCTATATTGGAATATGAATGAATGAACTTTAGTGAGTGGTTGAGTAAATTGGCAGCAGAGGTTCACGCTCATTTTAATTCCAGTTGCAGATAAACAAGCCGGTGAAAAGAGGTTAACTTCTGAGATCCCCTGGAAATACATCCTCTAATGGCGTGTGCAACAATGCAGTTCTGGTTTCATATTTTAAAACATTCAATGAATCGTTAGCGTCCAGTATTGTACTATATCTTCATCCGTATTTCTGGATACATCACCACAGCTCGTTCGTCGTCCCGTCAGCCGTCTATCGGCGTTGTACGCAAAGTGCCTCTTGTGAGACACGCACGTTCTACTCCAGGTGACTCACTTGGCATCCTGGATTATCCGATAGCAGACTTCCTCGCGGACTTAAACTTTTTGGTTCCACGTCCCCCAGTCTTCGCCCGGAATTGCTTGCGATCGATCAAGTTAAGTCACTCTGTTGGTGCTTTTCTCCGCCCCGAGCAAGTATTTCATCATCTGATTGAGGACCACTCCAAATACGACCTTCACGTAAGTGGCTGTTTGCATAATCCTCTGCTCCTGGTATTGTTGAATTCTTTATTATCATTTCCTTGTGTAAACATTTTTTCCAAATAACATTTGCGTCATCCACAAACCGAATCACAATGGCTTACTGAAGTCCGGAAATGAAGAATAGTTTGAACATCTGTTGGCTACCTTCTACTCTCCCTCGAGCTACCGGTCCGCAACAGAAATTGTGAAAATGAAACGTTCTTCGGCCTCAGAACAGCATGAAATCATATCCTTGCTATGTTGAAGCACGGTTGTAAACTTCCTTATCGTTGCATGTCTATCTTAGTTGCATCTATCCACGGGGCGCTGGAGTGAGTTGATTTTAGTGCCCATATTCAAAAGTGAACTCGGATTGAGTGTGGTGCTCAGTCTGGCCTTCGTTGTTTTTGCTTAATTTCTTGCACACTGATTCTCCACTATCTTACATCGGAGACCTTCCGGCGTTCGTTTCATGATTTCATCCATCGCGAAGTTAAATAGGAATGGAGAGAGTGGACATCCCCGACAGACACCACTTTGTGCTCGGGTGTTTCTGGTGAGCTCGCCGTATACTGTCACTCGTCCGGAAGTCTGATAATACAAAGAACGTATCATGTTCACAAACTTCTGGGTATTCCTTGATGACCTAGCGTGTCAAGAAGAACAGACCGGCAACCGAGTCGAATGCTCCTTGAAAATCGAAAAATACCGGAATTATGGGTTGCTTATACGTATGACGTCGTTCTGGCTCCTGACGAAGTGTGAAGATTTGGTCAATGCAACCCCTACCAGGCCGGAATCCCGCTTGCTGCTCTCGAGTCAGTATCTCACGAGCCACCGTAAGGCGAGGAAGCACAATTGATGTCAACAGTCTCGTCACGACCGGGGTCAAGCTGATCCCCCTGTGGTTACCACACTCACTGCGCGTCCTTTTTTTAAACATGGGCGCTATCACCAACTCTCCCCAGTTGTCTGGGACAGACTCCTTTTCTCAAATGCAAGCAAACAGATCAGACGGCATTGACTGAGGACTTCATCCCCGTCCATGAACAATGTTGTTGGGAGGATTACGGCATTGGAGGGCCTATGCTAGGGAATCACAGTAGTTCAGCATTCTGTATTGAGAGTCCACAGAACTAAATTCTCAGGTACCTTTGGTTTCGTACGATTCATTCTGAAAAATTCAGGAGCTCTTTTTTCTATTGACGGAGCTAGGGGTATACTTTGAGGCTCTACAGGATAAACTTATTTGGGAGTTCCGCGGATCGTCAGTGAACGGCTGGACAAAGACGAGGTGTCCTCATTGTTTTTTTTCTAGTTTTTCTGTATTCTTCTGCCCCATTGGCATTTGTTCGGACGTTCTTGTCGAGCACTTAAAGTTCACTCTGTTGCTTTGATGCTTCGTCCTTTTGTTCTTCTGTGTTCCACAATTGAACCATCCCTCTGAGAGTTGGCTCATATACTGAGTCTATTTCCCAACATGCAACTTCCAGATTGTTCGCATGACTCGAACGGGTCGGGACTCATTCTACCAGCCAGACAAACCATCGTTCACGTTTGGCATTTATGAACAGCATCTATCCGAACCAAGTCGCGTGATCCCATCACACTCAATTCCGCCTCCTCGGCAGGGCAGTTTTTCTCTTTCCCCTTCAACAGTCTACCCCCATGCGGACATCGCAGCAGTTGGATCCAACAGGGCCTCAAATACTCCCCTCGGTGCCGTTTCTCCCAACTATTCTCTAACCGCCATTCTGGTAGCTGATGATAAGGCAATGGAAGGTTCTCCACAAAAAGAGTCTTCCGGGCAACTGATCCATCTTACACTCCATTTGTTCGCAACGGATCCAAGTAATCGTTTTCCTAAATCCCGTCTTGTCAGTGCACAGGATGTTCCGCACATTATTGTAAGTGCCTGTCCTCATCGCTGTGATTTGTTCTAAGTATGTTTTAATTTGTACCGTAGTACTGTGTTGCGTTGCTCTGAAGATATTTCTCAGGACGGAATGCCTTGGTAAGCTTAAACTTACCAGCTTGGCACGGACACAAACCTTGTTTAGCAAGTAATGAGCTCATTCTATTTGTTGTTTGATATGATATTTTCGTCGTAAAGTTTCCTTATCCTTGGGTAGTTTGTAGGATCAATAAAGTGAGACTGAAAACTTCATAGTGCACAAAACTTCGGTCGATAGGTCATCTTCAAACCGAGCTGTTATCAAAGCCAATCTCTCATCCACTATCCTCATTCCGTCCATCTTCGTTGGAGCTCCAGTCTCAGATATTGCGATCGCGCGATTGATGGGAATGCCATCATTAGGACTTCGGGGAATTCCGTTTGCTATGTACGAGGCACTAATGTTTCACTCGTACATATTAACTTAACATCCAGCTGTGTATGCTATCCCGACTTCATGCGCAATCCAACCCAAATTAGAACATCAGCCGGTTTCCCTTCTTGTTTCGTTTTCAGCGGAGGTGATAGCTAGTTCTACGTGGATGGTATTGCTTCCCTCACTTTTTAAGAAGGCCTTGGCTGTGGAGTTATTTATTGGAAAACACCAACTTAACGGTTATGGGCCATTGGACAGGGAAGCAAAACTCCCATGTGTATCATGTCTATAAAAACTGAATATCCATCTTCTACTCGAACGCATCTTCCTGAACTTCCCTGGATACTTATTGTCTATCAGTCAAGTGCAAACGAATGCTGCAAAGCGATTCCACAAATTCCGTAATGAATCTCACTTTTCAATAGACGCTAAGCGGATTTATGAGAAGACCACATACTACTCTCATGCCTCATCAGTAGAATCCACCGCCGCACCAGTACGTATTAACTTAACATCCAGCTGTGTAGTCACCTATGCTATCCCGACTTCAAGTGCAATCCAACCCAAATTAGAGCTCCAGCCGTTTTCCCTTGTTTCGTCTTCAGCGGAGGTGACAGATAGTTCTACGTGGGTGGTATTACCTCCTTTTGCAGTTGAATTGATTTTAAAAAAAAAACAGACGAGCTGACGTTACTTGAAATTAAACTAGTCTCACTTGAATTGCCTCTTTTCCACGACTGCTGTTTTTACCGTATACTATATAATTCAGTCAGACCCATTCGGATCGACTTCGGGTCTCTCAGACCCTAGGTTTGGGAGCATTAATCGAAACAGTCTCTGTCGCATAAATCTCATCAGGCTGAAGTATCATTATTCACGCTTTCTTGGCGGTTATGGGGGATGGTCAGTGTTTTGTTGGCTTTGATCTTTAGTGAGTATGGTCCACGTATTCCCGTAGAAAGGATTCGAACCTCAGACGCCTGAAATAAAACTACTCCACTGAGTGTGTGTGTGTCACTCCAATCTTCCGAAGCCCTCACCTAACTGCTTTTATGTTTCTGTATTGGACCTTAGTGTTTGTCTTTCCTTTATATTCTTCATAACTCCATGGTATTTTAGGTTCAAGGAAAACCAACCTCAGCTGTGCTTACCAAAATTTTAATTCCAGTCACTGTAATTCTGATTACGACTACCATAAATCCAATTCAATTCAGTCTAGGGGACTTTTAATTCTAGGCTAGGGAGGAAACTTCAACGCTTCCTTTGCATTAGCTATTTAAATCGGTCCTCATCTTGACTAACTGGCCCTTTAACCTTTCAGCAAGCGTTTAATAAACAGATTTCTCGTTATGCGACCGCAGCGAACACTTTGTGGCTTATGCTACCAGCTTTATTTTGTCGAAGTTTACCTTTGGCAGTGCGCAACGCCAAAATTTCAATTGTCTATCTCAAATATCTTCCATACGAATAACGTTCACTTATATCGAAGATATATTGACCATACTTGAAGCACAAGCAGATTGGCCGCAAATGGGATATATGTGGTTTTCAGACCGACTATTTCATCTCTTCAATATGTATATCAGACTGGACTGTATGAGTTTATTGTTTTCTCTCTTTTAACCGAAGTACTTCGGATTTATTCTTCTGCTTTTAGGCAAAAGGTCCAATTGAGTGGCCTGCTGTGGCTCCCAGTCCTTACCTGAAGCCACCGAAAGCTCATGCACTGCTTAGAACGCAAAGCACTGGCAACGGCGGTAAATTGTCTACAGTGAGTGAATGTTCTACGAGCACTGCTCCATCTGCACGCAACCGATATACTTCCGTCAGTGTTTCTGCGAATTCCCATCTGCCGGATACTGAGCCCTCAAAATTGTCCACTTCCGATATTTTGTCTAGCAGTTGCGATTCTCCTCATAAATGGCACGTATCTTATTTGGGTATGTGGCCGGCTCATCAGGTCCCAATACAACAAGCGTTGGAACTGGCTCATACCTCAATGGAAGAACACGTTTTCAGATTAATCGAGCGATCTGAGCTAGACTGTCACAAGAACCTACTATGGTATCGGTTGTTTGACATACATCACTATCTAAATGAGTATCCTTCACAATATTACGCTCCTCAACCGGCAATGATAATAACTCCGACCCCCATCAAAGTTTCACCACCCACTCTAATCGCGCCTCTGAGCCAATCGAGCGAAACGCCCCGTAGCCAAATGACTAACGCAGAGATTGAGGTGAGCTCCATTCTTAATCAACCGTGAGAAGCTGCTGAGGTCTGGTTTTGCTTTCTTACTTGATAACTACATCTGTTGATCTTAGAGCCTAGTTTGTTCGCATTGCTGATGAACCGCACTGTCTGCTTCCGATTTTTTCTACAGGAGTTGGCACAATCAGCTCCATTCGAGATGGACATTTTCTTGCTGGACAAACGACTAGAGGAAACGATTCGAGCGGGTGCGCAATACTTGGGTCAAGTCGGGTGGTTGATTAATCGAAATTTCTTCACGAAACATTCAACGGATGCGGTAACTTCACAAAACAACGTCACTGTCAGTAACCAAAAGCCATTGGCGTTTGTTTGGCTGCTTCAGGATAATGATCCGAACACACCCGAGGCAGTCACACCTGAAGGCCCGTGGATAAAGCACCACATGGCCTTACTGTGTCCTGAGTTTACCGATGGTTTTATTCTGCTCTCTTGGGCTGAAAAAAGGCCGGACACCGATCAAACATCCAGTCGTTTTCAACACAACGACACTTCTAACTATAAGGCAAGTGTTCATGTATATTTTACCAGGATGGCGCGTTGTACTCGCTCAACACAAACGGTCCTTCACATTCTCGGATTTTTCCTGTAGGGACCTTATCGGCATCTTATTGCTCTCTATCACAGTTGCAATGCAGAATTAGTTGGCCTTGTTAGATGATAGGGTGAAGTACCGCATGATTAGTCTACAATCATCTTACTCTTAATGTACATTTTATTGTCGTTTTAGACACACACACTTTTCTCATGCAATTTTCCACTTATCAGTGGTTGCCGTTCGACTCTCGGAAAACGACTAAGCGAGGATTGATAAACCACAAATACTACCTGAGGTTTATTGTAATCAATTCGCAAAATGATATGTTGGCTGCTTTGAGTTGCCGCATAGTTATATCCTTCGTTTCACCTTTAGGACTTTCGTCTGCGCGCACTTTTCCGCTCAGTTGGTGATCCGATGAACCCTGGCTCGATGCGTCGCCTAATCGATTCTGGACAGCAAATTCAGGGCCTGTTTTTCGAACGCTCTCCATTGGCATCCCTCGTCACCAACTTCGTAGAAATTCTTGGGCTTTGCATTTGGCGGGGACTTCATTCTAAGCCTTCATGACATTGGCTTGAACACACTTTATCGTGTCTTTCATAGTCGATTCTTCCCATTCGTCTTTTGTGTAAGAAAGCTTTTGCAACTCTTTTTCTATTAAACAAATACTCAGTGCGAATGGTTTTTGGGTTACGTCACGTCATTCTTCGGAGCTCTTCAGCCCGCGAAGGGTGTGAACGTGGGACACGTGCATGCCTTTCTGCAGTGCAAGCCTTGAGGCATCCCGCCTCGACTTGTACCATCTCCCGGCGTAATTCATGATTGTCGCGATTAGTTTCACCACAGTCCCGCTTAGTTTCGTCATGGTCTAATGACCCAGCTGGCTTCAGTGTGCCCCTGATTTCGGGCATGTACAGGGGGGATAGACCTCCACTAGTCTTATCCCAACTCCTGTCACCTTCGACCGTCATAGTGGGATTACTGTGTTAACACCGCACCGTGGATCCTTGAGATGAGTTGGGTTGGCATAAACACCGATAAAACTAGTGAGAACGACAGAATGCAATGTATTTGGCTCATTCCCCGTCAAACAGGTTAGCATTTTTGTAACTATTATGCTATTACACAAGCCGATGGAGCTGTCCGGATTTACTCGCTCAAGCCGTCTACCTATTACTTTCGGGCACTGCAGCTGTTGAGACTGCTAAAATGTGTCGGTCCATACGATATTTACGAACTACGTAGATATATGAGGCCTAGAGAAGAGAAATAATGGAAGAAGTCTGAATGGCTGTCGCTGGACCCCGCCTTCGAAGTTCTTGTTTTAATGCTTCTGCAACAAAAGCTCTGAGCTGTCAGTCGCTGCCGAAGTATATTACCCTTGTGATAAACAACGTTTCTGTCCAAATTCAATCGAGCGCTGCTCCAGATATGACCGTAATATTTGGGCTGATCTGGAGCAGTCTTAATCCCCTTTTGATCCAACTTCACAGGCCACCAACGAGTAATTCGGTGCAGAACTACCTTTATCGAGCAGTACAAAATGAATCTGCGTTTAGTAATTTGCATTCCAGGGTTTCTTGTTGTGTTATAAGTTTTGGGTATCTGAATACGTTGGGCACTACCTGGATAGACAGATTGAAATGTTGACCAGAATTGATTAAACAATGGAAATGCAGTGATATACTTTGTCAGTTCCGGTAGATTTATTCACGAAGTCAGAACTGATTTTTTGATGCATATTTACCAGTAGTGGCTCAAAGGCATTCCATAGTACTGCCCATCATCAGGCAAGACAGATCTTTACAGCTTTTTTGTGCAGAAACATGTGCCCCAGCAGTATTTCAGAAGGTGATGGAAGCTATGACCTCTGTCCCAGTTGGACCATGTGATCGTCATGAGCTCTAGATCGTTACGGACATCAGGATAAATACCCACAGGTTTCTTACACATCAATGAATTTTATTCTGCCCGTTATCAGATACCCTTGCTTCGTTATTGACAATTGCGATCGACTTTTGTTACCAAGTGCTGTTTACACAGACGACAAACCACAACGTTTGGCCAGCACTTTACTTAAATATGATGTGGACTTACGTCTCTAAAGGATATCGCCATTTGGCCATTGTGATTATTGACTGCATTTCCATGCTCACAAATGAAAACATTGTTGTATCCAGCGCTAAAACAGATCCCTAGGTTAGGGAAGTATTTCGCGCTCATTCCCAGTAAAAAACAGGTCCAGTTCAAATGGAAACAACAAACAACCCAATAATGCAACGTAGCATGAGATTGCTTGACGCCATATGGCCTACACGCCCCTCTACTACATATGGCGTGCATCTGTAGCCATGTGTTGTAGTTGTGGCTGTAGCCCCACGTGCGCTATGGTAAGACATTCACATCTATTTTTCGGATACGTATAAATGGTTCTAGTACTTACGATACGTCAAGGCACGAATTTTCATATGAAGTATCTTAATCGTTCTGAAATCAGCTGATTTGACTGATATGTTCGAAAGTATATGATGAAGATCACCTGAAATACATAGGGTCGCGAAAACCGGCCTTGACCGAGACAGCAATTTCAGCTATAGGCTTCAGTAGCTGAAATAGTGAGTCAATTTTGAAGTTCATAGATGTGTTGTGGGCTATTCCGGATTTTTCTCAATGTTCTTAGGTTCCCGCTAGCGTTTCGCACAGAGACAATTTATTGCCCCGGCATTCTGAGAAAATCCCAGCTTGCCTCTAAACTTCTTCAAGTGGCACTGAATAAAAACCGCTACTTCTGTTGGAGTTACGAATTTCAACTATTCTTCCTCACTTGACATGTGCATTCGAATTTGGATTTTTCGCAGAGCTCACGAGATGCAATGCAGGATACTGCTCACTTGATAAAAAAGTACATGTCTGAATTCTTGCCACTGACATTGTTGCCGATGATGAACATTGTGCATTACTCTGTCCTGGTGTACGGGAAATCTGAGCTCCTTACGTAGAACTAATGTAGTGTCATTATATTAATGTTTCGGTCATGTGAGCATTTAAAAAGGAATATCATATTACCGCAGTAAAAGTATACAGGGCGAAAACTTTACTTATTACAGAACAATTAGGTGAAGACAATTATTTTCAGGGTAAACGTCGAGCTGTGATTCCCGCCCACATTTACCACATGTATCTTAAGACTGGAACTCTTATAACCGTAGCGCGCACAACACCGTAAGTATAATATCCCAATAAAGAAATTGACAGTAAAAACGCACCGTTAAGAGTATCTTTCTGTATCGGCAAACAGTTCAACCATTGTGATCCCAGGAATTCATTTGTTTTGAGCAAGTTTAAAATTACATCCGTGCCAACAACTAAACTCATTTGCAAATCGATTTGGTTTTCACAGGAGACCGAACTAGATCTCTATGATATTCTACAACTGAATGTGCTGCACAAAGGCCGCCTCTAAGGAAATACACTACAATATCTCGAATTTCTTACCAACTGAAACATGAGGCGACCTTTGGGTAGCAAATTCAGTTGAAGAACATCATAAAGGAGAGATTCACTTGGGTTTTCAGCGACTTTGTGAGTACTCTTCTTGCTGAACATATATGCTGCGATATCAATCCGCAGTATTCGCGACCTTGGGAATTCCGCTCGTCAGAGAAAACCATTAGGACTAAACTTAAGACACAAGTCTCAGTGTCAAAAATTCATTTTTTCACTTCGTGTAATCAGAGCTAATGGAAGATGATACGAGTATGTCCACTCTTAAACATCGGGTGATCTTTGTGCAGGAGATCTATTTTAAAAATTTAACCTACGAGAGATTTAGTTGAGCTTTTTGTTAACGGGACCGTTACTTGCAAGTTGGCGTATCTAAGTGTCGATTTTAATTCGTCTCAGATTTTTTTATTGACCCACTTAAAAGCTAACATTGCGGAAACCAGCGTCAGATAGCTCATACAAAACAAGTCCTAGTCCGGGCAAATAGATTTAGGGGATACCAGGTCATCGAATGACAATAACTTATTTGTTACCGAGTGCATAATTCCTCTAGCGAAATTCACCCAAGTAGCGACATCTGATGACACTCAAGGAATCGAGACCATTGCAAAGAACGTCTTTCAGCCAAGGTTAGGATATCATAGATTTCTACCTCCCTGTCATGGAGGTCGTCTTTGTGGAAAATTTGTCAGTTTCGGAGACATTTTGAGGTGAATGCTGTGAAGACCTATGTTGCTGATTCTCTTATGTCATTCCAAGCGCTTGGAGTGAAAATGCTATGTACTCTTCCAACTTCCTTAGAAATCGTACCAGCTATAATGTGATCTGCATGCTTCTTATCTTTGTATCTCATGTCTCTATTTTTGAAAATAAACCTGAAGTTAAGGTACGTACAGAGGCAAAAAGCCACGCAACATGACCGGATGCTTCAAGTTCGGTGAGACGATATCCAAGGGCCGATAAAAGTCACCCGCTATTATTTTAAAACCAGACCCGTCGTCCCCTGAAACCCTTAATAGAATCCTAGCCCTACTGGCCTCCTTTGCTGTCAAACAATTCACATGCTATTTGTCGGTTCACATTTGTTGTCTGGCTACGTGTCTTGACAAAACGTAGGGGCAGTATTAGAGATTCAATGGCATGTAATGAAAATCTTTCAATCCATTATGCTGAGACAGTCAATGTTACGGAATGAACTGCATGGATGAGAGGAGCCTCTCGTGTCTCTGGCAGTGAAATAGTCGTTGCTAACATGTGCTACGGGAGTGAGCTAACTTCCAGCTAAAAACGCGTTGCTCCGAATCAGTGAACCGTGATTCTCAGAGACTAAGTAAGACGTTGTTTACTCATATATGCCCCCAAATGTCCTGCTTCAGTGAACAATCCTCAAGAAAAATAGTCGTGGACAACCGATTTGGGTTCAGCAACAGGCATCTCACTGGGTCATACGGCAGGCAGCCGAGATTTTCCAGCGGATGGTTAGGTGTCTTCAGTATATTATTATATGTTAGAATTAGGTCTCCCCTGATGCGCCGATAGTAGAAGTC